AGTCGATGTGTGCAGTGTGCAGGATTTGCACCCTTTTTGCATTCATCCTGACACGTGACACTACGCGAGCAGCACCCATGGAGGCGCTGGTCAACACTGTGCTGCTGGCTGCACACCCGAGCCTTCGCGAGCGCTGCAACGCCGCAAAGGTCGTGTCGGTCCTCGAGGAGCTCGGGGCGTACGACTCGTCCGCACTGCGGTCACTCCTCTCGTCGTTCACCGACACCGTCGCACACAAGCTGAAGGAGGAGGAAGCAGCACCGCCAGCTCTGGTCGCCGCGCTGGCGACGCATGTCGACTCGGGCAGCCTATCAGAGCCTCAGAACATCGGCGGCGCGATGGACGCGACAGCTGCAACCTCCTCCTCGAGCAGCGCCGCCGCTGCTGTCACCCCGAGGACGGTGAAGGCGAAGGCCGGCGGCGGCAAGCATAGCACGCTGCAGCAGAAGTCGATCGGCGCGTTCTTTGCTGGTGGCACCAGGACTACGTACGCGACGCTGCCGGGCATAGGCCGTCAGATCAGATCCGTTACCTCGCTCACGCCCGAGCAGCTGCAGGCTGTGGGCAAGGCGCCCGAGAAGTTCACGTCGTGCGCCAAGGGCTGTGGGCAGACATTCTTGCACGGGCCTGCGCGCGTTGCGCACGAAAAGTTCTGCAGCGGTCGCGCGGCCGAGACGGCCGCCGAAGTCGCCGCCGCCGCAGAGGCTGCCGCCTCCGCTGCCACCACCACCCAGCCCGCCACCGCCGTCACCGAGGCTGCCGCCGAAGCCGCTAACAGCAGCGACGACGAGCAGCCACCCGCGAAAGCACCAAAGCTGCGCGCGGATGGCGGCATCAAGCAGAGTGGGCTCCGCCAGGGCGAGAAGAAGGGCATGAAACACTCGCTCTACTTTAAGCTCGAGGTGGTGCGCACGCTGCGCAGGTTGCAGAGCCTCGAGAAGCGCTGGGAGAAGGCGCCGAGTGGCTGGCGTGGCGCCGGCATCGAGACGTCGGAGATTCACAAGGGCGTACACCCCTCCCTCGTGTCCAAGTGGGGCGGCAAGGAGGACGAGCTGCACATGGCGCTGCAGCACGAGAACCGCGTCAGCCGTAAGCAGAAGCACCGCACCGGCACGATGGCGACGTTCCAGTCGCGCGGCGCACGGCGGACGACCCTCCATCGCGGCCGCGCGCCGCCTTTCGCTGCGGTCGAGGTGGAGCTGCACAAGCGCTACCGCGACAAGCGGACGCGTGGCGAGCGCGTGACCGGCCAATGGCTTCGCGTCTCCATGAAGCGCCTCGTGCGCGAGTTCGCCGGCGCCGACGTGGCCGACGGCTTCAAGGCGTCCAAGTGGTGGCTGCGGTCGTTCGCGCGGCGCTTCGGCATGTCGCTCCGGCGCAAGTCGAACAGCCGCGCCGAGTCCGTCCTCGTGCGGCTGCCGAAGATCAAGCGCTGGCACGCGCGCCTCCGTCGCCGCCTCCGTGGCGGCCTGCAGGAGAAGCTCGACCCAAAGTGGGGACGCTGGTTGCCGCGCAACCGGCTGAGCGTCGACCAGGTGCCGTGCAACCTCCGAGCGGGCGATGGGCGCACCTACGACGACACGGGCGCCAAGCGCGTCTGGCTGGCGGGGGCGAAGGCTGACGACGGCAAGCGCTTCTGCACGCTGCAGATCGTCGCGCGCGCGAGCAACGGCGACGCCTCGATGCCGCGGCACGGGCAGCCCAAGCTGTGCGTGATCTTTCGCGGCCAGGGCAAGCAGATCTCGCAGAATGAGCGAGATGCGCGCCACTCCGACGTGCAGGTGCGCTTCCAGCCGAAGGCGTGGGCTGACGACCAGCTCTGCGAGGACTTCGCGGACGTGGAGATGCGCGAGGCGACGGCGGCCGCACGCGCCGCGGGCGAGCGGAGCGTCGCCATCTTCGACAACCTCTCCGGCCAGACGACGCCCGAGCACCTGCGCAACCTGCAGCGCCGCGCCCACTGCGACCGCCACCTGCTGCCGACTGGCTCGACGGGCGAGCTGATGCTCATCGACGGCGGCATCGGCGTCCGCCTCAAGAACCTGATGGGCGACGAGATGGACACGTGGCTCGAGCAGCCGGGCCACCTCGAGCGCTGGACCAAGGGCCCCAAGGAGGGTGGCCTCAAGGCGTGGCAGAAGCGTTCGCTCATCACGCAGATCGCGGGCCGAGCGTGGGAGACGCTCTGCGCCACGTATGACTTCGAGAAGTCGGCGCGCAGCCTCGGCCTGCTCATGACTGTCGACGGCTCCGGCGACGAGCACATCTGCGTGCAGGGGGTGACGGACTACACCTTCAAGGACGAGGACGGCGGATCGGACGGCGGGGAGAGCGAGGCGGACGAGGACGAGGCGGAGCTCGCCGATGTCGACGAGGCGGCGGGCGAGGAGGAGGGCGAGGAGGAGGGCGAGGAGGAGGCGGAGGACGGCATGGAGGACTCAGAGGACGAGGACGAGGACGACACCGCCGTGCGCATGCAGGAATGCGGCGAGGCTCCGGCAATGCCCCCGAAGGGCTACGTCTATGCGGCGACGTGCCCGCCGCTGGCGAACGACGACGAGCAGCGCGCGCTGTGCCGGCGCAAGATCCTCGCCGCGCACCTCCTCGACGGCGCCACCGGCTGGTACGTTGGCACCGTGCAGCACTTCGGCGTGGGCTCCTCGTGGCGTCAGCCTGACGCGACGCACATCGTCATGTACTCCCAGAAAGAGACGGGCACCAAGCACCTCGCGGGCCGTGTCGCGTGCAAGCTAGCCGCCGACAACTATGGCGCGAGCGAGTGGTGGCTCCTGCTGGAGCCGGCGCCAGAGAGCTGAGCATGAGGGACTTGACGTGTTGCGTCACTGTTCACGCAAAGACACAACCCCGGGCCCAAGACTCACACTGTTCACACTATAGAGAGGGTGAAAATTGCGTTTCCCATGACTGTAGACTGAGAAGAAAGTGAAAGAACGACCTCTCTCTAAAAAGTCGTATGATTTCTAAAATTTTCTTCGCGCCTGCGGCGCGGCAGATCAGAGAAATCGGGCCGGCCTCGTGCCAGCAGCCGATTTCTATTTCGGCCAGGGAAATCAGCCAAATTTCCAGCAGCCAATTTCTAAACACCGATTTCTAAGGCAAGAGCACGCACTGTAAGTCAGCCCTCGCGTTTGGCCCGCTTCGTTCGCCCCACCCAGCCCAACCGCTCTCCCCACGCTCTTCGCCGTGTGGCGGCCGTCCTTCCTGCATCCAGTCCGCCATAACCCGCGTCTTCCGGTGATGATTCGCCGCTTTCAACTCGCGAGCTGGCTGGCTCTGGCGTGCGCCTCGCGAGAGCTCGATCCGTGTGTGTGTGTGTGTGTGTGTGTGTGTGTGTGTGTGTGTGTGTGTGTGTGTGTGTGTGTGTGTGTGTGTGTGTGTGTGTGTGTGTGTGTGTGTGTGTGTGTGTGTGTGTGTGTGTGTGTGTGTGTGTGTGTGTGTGTGTGTGTGTGTGTGTGTGTGTGTATCGCGTGTGTGTGTG